ATGTTAACATTGTATATGTAAACATTGTAAATGTAAACTTTAAACTGCTCTAACTATTTTTTAAATTATTTTGTTAATTTAATTATATTTCTATATGTTTACCACCAATACATATAATAATAAATTAACTGAACATATTTATATAGTGATAATTATCTTGAAACGTGTTTGTTTTTGTTTTTTAGCATTGTGCTTATAAAAATAGTACCAGTATAATAAATACAACGCCAAATATAACGCATTTGCCGTTAGATCATCTTCTCTTCAATATAATGCCAATATAACGCCAGAGTTGAGCAAATATAACCGATAAAACTTACGCCAAAATAACTCCAATATAACGGCAATATAACGCTAATATAACGGATAACTTGCTCAACTCTAGCGTTATATATTTTTTGTTATTTTGGCGTTAGTTTTTTAAGAGTGTTGAGCTAAAGTTTTTTGGTTTATCCGGAGCATGATTTTTATTTGACAAAAATTTATTTTATTGTTTGTCTCGTGCGCTTTGTGTCGTTTTTAAATGTATTGAATAATTAGGAGTAATAATTTTTCTTCAGGTTTTTGAGGATTTTTTCAAATAGGTTTTTGTAGTTTCTATAAATTTTTTTCACTAGTTGTTGTTTTTGTTTTTAAAAATTTTATATATAACTATTGTTTTATTTTAAATGATTTTTTAAAAATCTTTTGTAATTCAGGGTGTATTGATATTCTTAGTTGTTAACGTTTTTTCTATGGTGGAGAAATTAACTTTTTAAACAGAAAAAAATGGTTTAAAAAAACTTTCATAAGCATTAATTGCGTTCTGTAGTAGAAAGTTAAGCTATTTTAATTTCACTTCTTTTTCTTTTTGATTGATAATTTGATTGCGAAATGATCTAGAAATATTTATTATAAATAACAAATATTATTAAATATAAATAAAAAATACTATTGAAAACAATATAAAATTTAATACCTTCTGTCAAAATAGTATTGACAAAATAATGCGACCCTACCAGGACTCGAACCTGGAATCCCCTGATTCGTAGTCAGATGCCTTATCCATTGGGCCATAGGGCCATACTACCCACGAAAAATTTTTTATTTTATATTTTATTAAATAATGTTATTTAATAAAATATTAACTTGATTTTTAACAATTTTTGTTGTACTTTCTTTTTAAATAAAGCATAAAAGTATGAAATACAGCTAAATAATATTTTTTGTGTTTGTGTGTTGTAGCGTGTCACGTTCATTAGGAAGCACCACAACGCACGTCGGATCAGCGTTCGCTATATGCTCGGATATAGAATCTCACTTCATAGCACATCATTTTACACCAGTACGGGGTCGTAGCTCTTTTGGCTAAGAGTGATGGCTTGTGGCCTACGGTGAAAAATGTGTGTATTCGATCAATTGAAATCCATTCTGTAGGTCTTACGCCAGGTTCTGATGTGCAAGCCCATCTGCGCAAGAAGTGAGTGTATTTAGCTTGTGCATTGTGGACCTCCGAATGAACGTGACACACTCCTACACACACAAATACACAATACTTAATACTTAAGAGAGTACTTGGCTTTATTTTACGTGTTTTTATGATTTTAATGCAGTGGTTCATAATTTTTTTTTTATTTCAGTTCCTCCTTGTTGCTTTTTATAAAAGAATCAGCGACGGATCCAAGGGGGGACAATGAGGGGTATGCATCCACCACCCACCTACCAGAAAATCTCAATAGATTTTTTTTTTTTCATATTTTCGTCAAGAACCGAGCTCCACAAGCGTGGTCCCCGACATGTAATTGAGAAGCCAGATTTTTTGAGTGATGTTAGTGTGATGTAGTAATTATTTATTGAGTGTCTTGTTTTATATTTATGATTAATAAGAGTGAAGTTTTTTTAAGAATATTTTTTAATTAGTTCGTTTTAAAGTTTAAACATTAATAACAAGTTATGATAGATGATTAATTTGTATACATTAAGGCATTTATTTCCTTGAGTAACGGCTCGGCACTATCGTATCTATCCATGCCCGAAACTTATCGACTTGCTTGCTTTTGTTTTGTATAAATAGTTTTTAGAAAAGATGAGTGATTGTTTGCCCAGGCAATATTACAATAGTTAAGATGTATAAACGAAAAATGTAATTTTTTTAAACATATTTTATTCAAAAGAAGTTTAGTCTTATACATTATCCCTAAAGTCTTTGAGACTTTATTCTCGACTAGCGTTATTTGGCTTTTCCAATTTAAATGTTCATCGAAAATTATTCCAATTATTTTCATTGAAAAAACTCTTTTTATTTTAATATTGTTAATAGCTCGTTCTGGTGGTGTAAGTGGAAGGTTCTCGGATTTAGATGGTTTAGCAAACAAAATATATTTTGTTTTTTCAAAATTCAGTGAAAGTTTATTTGCTATAAATTACTCATTGAGATATGTTAGTTCTGTGTTTACATTACGAAAAATATTTTTTAAATTTGAATCAGAAAAGAAAACATTTGTGTCGTCAGCAAAAATAATATAATTAAGTATTTTTGATCACAAATAAACATCATTAATATAAATTAAAAACAGTAAAGGTCAAAGTATTGATCCTTGTGGAACTCCACAACTTATTGACTCAAATGGGGAACATGTTAAATCAAATGGTACTACTTGTTTGCGATTTTCTAAATAACATTGCAGCCACTTTTGCTCCGACTCATCCATTATGGAATCTGATTTTTTCAAAAAGGATTTAAATGTTTACTCCCCTCAGGAATTGCAATGACTTGTTTTTTCTCTATATTTATGAAAAGTCATTAAATGTTTCTGCAATTTCTTTATTTACAAAAGCATCTCCTGTATTTTTTTTTATTTTTTTTTTTTTTGTTCTTGTTATCAATATACTATGGTATAAATATCGTTGTACATTAAATATCAAAACACGGAGACTCAAAGAGGATCCTGTCACTTAGAACCGTTTAACAATACAGTAAAAATAAAACCAGTTAAATAATTACAATAAATGACGTTTAAAAATAAAATTTGAATTTAACCAGATATTTCAAAACATAAAATAACGTTTAACAACGTAAAGAATATATATAAATCTAAATATTTCAAAATAAAACAATATATTCAGGAACCACACACTTTTTTAAGATGTATAAACTCAAAAGAACTCAAAGATATTATCAATTGACAAGATAACTTTTTTCAACATTAAAATTTAAAAAATTTTAAAAGTAAGAAAACTACAACTTTGGGAAAAATTTTTCAAAACTATTTTGTTCCACAGAAGAGCTCCGCGATATGTTAAAAGAGATCTTCCAAAACTTGTATGAGAATAATGTTGATGAATAAGATTGTCATTTCTTAAGTCATATTTGTTTTTTTGTTTTATTGCATATAAATTTTGAAAGGATATAGGTGTTAGGTTTATCTTATATTTGTACATAAATAAAAGAACATTAAAAACATTTTAAAAATTTAAAAGAGTTTGCATTATTATTAGTTACATGAAGTATGGCGTTTTCCGTGGGGTTATTTATTTTGAATTCATATTGACTGGCATTTAATATTTTATTTTTAGAAAGATGTTCATATATTTTGTTGTAAAGAATCCTTTCAAAAACCTTTGAAAAGCCAGAGAGTACAGATATTGGTCGATAATTAGTTATATTTGATAATTCACCACATTTATATATTGGTGTAACTTTAGCGATCTTTAGTTGGTCAGGAAATATTTCTTGTTTTATTGAGTAACTAAACACTTTGAATAGTATAGTTTTTATGATCTCGTAAGATAATATAATAATGTTACTATTTATTTCGTCCTGACCTCTCACTTTATTTGTTTTTAGCACTTTATAAGCATATTCAAATTCTTTCATTGAAATTTACAAATTATTAAGTACAGAAATATTGGGAAGGCTTTTTTGAAGTTTATTTTTTTGGTTACAACTGAAATATTTTTTGCTAGATTAGGACCAACAGATACAAAATAGTTATTTATCTGATTAGCTATATCTTTTGGATTATATATGAAATCATCATTGTTTCTAATAACTTTTGGTAAGTTGCATGTTTTAATCTTATGGTTACCAGTGATTTCATTTAAAACTTGCCACGTGCGCTTTGAGTTATGTTTAAACTTCTCATAGGTTTGAGTAGTACTTTTTTTTTAAGTTTTTTCTTTGACTTTCAAAATTTTTAACGTAATTTTTATAAATTGCCATATTATTATCACATTTTATTTTTAGATAATATACAATCAGGGTCGGCGCGAGTAGGTGTCACGTGGGGGGGGGGGGTGTTATTACAACTTTTGCCGATAAAAAAAAAAAAAGGTCCTTGTTTTCCAAAATTTGCCGACTGCCATGATGACATTTGCCGACTGTTTAATCTATATTGAAAGGGTCGACATTTGCCGACTAACTAGTCTAAAAGGGTCCAATTTGCCGACTAAGGGTTCTGTTTGCCGACTGAAAATCATTGATGAGGGAAGGAAAAGGGTCACCCCCCCCCACGCACACACCCCTATTGTGCTGGCCTTGTATACATTTTTTGTTTAACTTCGGACAATTTTCTAAGTTTTTTGGTAATCCATGGCGACTTAATGCTTTTTTTTTTTTGACTTACTTCGCATTAAGGAAAGTTGGCGTCATAAACTTCAAAAAATGTTTTAAAGAACGAGTTATAAACTAGATTTGCTTCAGATGAAAAATTTAAATGTTTCCAGTGTAGTAAGGATAGCTGCTCATTAAACGATATTATGTTTGCTTGGCTAAAGCATCGTTTGAAGTAAACTTGATTTTGTTTCGGTACTAAGTCAAGATCAATATTTATTTATTTGCCCCGTTCACGACGTGAATTTCTTTTAGACCAGTTTTTAGATGCATATTAGATGCATTTTAGATATCTCTTCCTTTGCTGGGACTTGTTTGATACAAAGGTGTTACAGCGGTTAAATTAGTCATAAAAAAGAATTAAATTAAATAAGTAAAGAAACATTTTAACTAACATTACTTAATTTCAATTTCACAAAAATATACATAAGAAACTATATTTCTGCATTGCCGTCAACATTTTCTTCCACGTCGCCGATATCTAAAATATATACATTAATGACATTTAAATGACTTTAAAAGACATGTAGAATTCTGAATCTATTTTTATGAAATATTATATATATATATATATATATATATATATATATATATATATATATATATATATATATATATATATATATATATATATATATATATACACATACAGTATCGAACAAAACCAGTGCAACCTAATGATGCTAATTTAGTTTCTTTGTATATATTTAGTGCTGTATTTTATCAAATTAGAGAAATAACTATGTAACTGTTTAGAGACAACGTTCTTCAAGTTTTATTCATCACAAAGTTCATTATTTGTACACGAAAATTAATATATTAATCAAAAGTATTAAAAAAAGTTGATTTCCATCTGGACAAAACAAGTGCGACTCCACAAAATGTTGACCAAGCTGTATTCATATCAATATTTTGTGGTGAATCCTTTGTTGTCGATCACAGCCTTGCATCTTTGAGGCATAGATTCGATCAGGTGATCGACCCCCAGACCATTACATTGCCTCCACCATGCTTCACAGTATATATATGTATGCTGCAAAACGGCACTTGTCAACGAAATTCTGCCTGTGTGCTGTCACCTGTCAGCTGATTGCTCATTTCATGGCATGCTATGACTCCAGACTCTTGAACTGTTTGCTGTGGTAGTATAGTTCGTTTCATTTTTAAGACATATAAAATTAGGAACACTTTTTAGCATTGTTCGATGTTGGTTGCAAATTTTTTGTCTAATACTGTATATACATATATATATATATATATATATATATATATATATATATATATATATATATATATATATATATATATATATATATATATATATATATACATGTATATGTATATACATACATATATATATATATATATATATATATATATATATATATATATATATATATATATATATATATATATAAACAAAAAGATTTGTATCTCAACCAGATACAATAATAAACAACAATTTTTTTATGAAAAAACTAAAGGAACTTGTATTATGGATACAAAAATTCTAGCATGACACAAAAAAGTCGAAGAATATCTTTTTAATACAGATATCAGTTTTGTAAATACTATTAAAACTATACCTCATAAAACACTCCATATATTTACTAGATTTTCTAAGCTTATCTTTTCCCCATTTCCTTTTCGATAAATATTTTAACAATAAACTGAAATATATAAAGATTTTTATTTTAATATATGTAATAAATTAAAATATAGTTTAATAAATGAATGTTTAAAATTATGAAAGGTAAAAGCATTAAATTTAAAAATAAAATGCTAAACAAGGTTTAGCATTACACTTACTTTAGCACACAAACAAACTTAAACACCTACAACGAAGCTCCCGAGTTTATCAAATTGTCATGTTAAAAGTAAATTCATAACAAGTAACGGTCAAAAAGAATTGCTTTTGGTCCCTTTTAATCATATTTCTAATAATTAATAAAAACATAATCGTTTACCTTTTCATGATCAAAAAAACATGTTTTCTTGGCTTTCCACCACCAATCTTTTTTAAACTATCAAGCTGAAATAAATGTAATAAAAACTAGTGTAACTTAAATTTCATTACAACATATTGAGTCTAACACAAGCTAGTTATTTTAGTTCATTTACAAATACTTTTTATTTAGATTCTAAACTAATAAACCAAACTTAAACAAACTTATTAAAAATTAAGATAATTAGATTATACCAAGTTAGTATACTCGGTTTTATCTTTTAGTTTATTATCCAGTGTAACCACTTTGTCCACCGATTCTAGCAACTTCACCCCAGTAGCCTGAAACTTAATTTCTATAACTTCTTTTAAAAGAACTTATATTTCTGCAAGCTCCTTGAGAATAACATTTTGCATCTCTACAAACAAGAATAAAAAGATTGATTAACATATTTAGCTCATAAAACCAAATAGCAAAACAATGAAATAAGAACTTTAAAATTCAAATTATGCTTGAGTAACTTAAATTTCATGTAAAATCATGTAAAATCAAAAATACATGTAAGTTTTTTTATTACTCCATCGCAGAAGTTGCCATAATATTTTGGTAAAATAAACCTGCTTTTTAAATCAGCTAAAACTTTATCCTGTAAAAAGCTACAATATTAAAGAATTTTGCTTAATTACTAAAGATAAAATGCTACGCACATGATTTATCGGATCACAATATTATAAATAATCCATTTCTATTCTTTTATACCTATCTTTTACAATTATTTTAATACAAAAACAAATTAATAAAAAAGACCTCCACATTAACATTCAGTGGTGTAAAAACCAAAATTACTCACATTAAAACTTAAAACTCTTTGACAATGTGAACTTTGCTTGGTGTTCATCAATAAAATGTGATGAAAAATTATCTTCTTCAATCTTTGAATCTGATAACAACTCTATTCAAAAGAAATAATTATAATTAGAACTATAAATAATCCCTCAACCATACCTGTTACTTAAATTAATCTTTCAACCAATTTTGTACTCTTTCAATTTCCGAATTCAAACAACTTCAGCATGCTTCCAATCAATTTTCAATTTTCATATCAAGTTGATTAAAGGATTATTTAATACAATAGAATGTTGTCAATGATAAAAATATATGTAACCAATTAAACAACATTACATATAATAGGACATCCAAATAGTTAAAATAAAAGGAAAATCTTAGTAATACATAAAAAAGACTAATAGCTAGATAGATATTATTCAGATCAAATTAAACAAGAATCTATTTCAGTTTATAAACCATTAAGAAAAAATTATGATATTTATGTTATACTTTTAGCATAGGGTTTATTCATAATAGGTGGCGGAGCTTCTGGCAATGAAGAGCGGTATGATTTGTTATTCTTATTTTTAATGCTTTCTTTAACTTATATCTCATCTGATGTAGAAAGTTGTATTCTTCACAACATGAAAATGAATCTAATTATAAAACATTTTGCTACAAAAAAGTAATTAAGTTACCTTTAAAAAAAATACAAAACAAGTTAGATACTGACTATCTGTTATCTTACACTTTATTAATGGAAATTTGTGTCATTCTTTTGCTGACAAAAGGTTGTTTTTCAGTGCATGATTATATATTTTTTTTGGGACAATAAATTTGTTGGTATTATTTGTCAATCCACTTGTTTAGTGCATAACTACTTGGTTAGAAAAACATGCAGAAAAACTTTCCTTTAAAGTTGGGTTATGCTTATACTCATTAGGCTTTTGGTCATAAGAGTATTCATTGTACAAAATCGATGACTCATGATGGTCAAAATATTCTTTTAGATTTTCGCAAGATAAGAAATCATTTCTTTTAGAAGTTCCAACATTCGATTTTTTTTCTATATGTACTGATGAAAACTCTAGTATTTTTTAATATTCTTTTTGGACACGTCTACTGCGTCTCTTTTCGTATGCCCTTTTTGTAAAAGACATAAATGAATCTTGGTTTCTTGATAAAAACGATAAGTGCACAACCAACAAAACAATCTTTTGTGTTATTGAAAAACACTCATATTATGAGTGTTTTTCAATAACACAAAAGATTGTTTTATTGGTTGTGCACTTATCCTTTTTATCGAGAAACTAAGATTCATATATGAGTCATATATATATATATATATATATATATATATATATATATATATATATATATATATATATATATATATATATATATATATATATATATTTTAAATCACAAGGATTTTAGCAAACATGCTAAGCATCAAATCATCGAAATATTTTGTGAACTATAATAGCATGTTATTTTATTATTTAAAATTTATCAAAGAAATAATCATTAATGTTTTCCATAGCTTAAAATCTTCATGCTTTTTTCGTAATAAGTTTAAGCATGGTTTTTAAATGGCGGTCATTTATAATTGTCGCTCCGTAAAATTAGTTGATATTTTTTTCTTGTTTTTATAACAAATCTATATAAGACATCTTATAGACATCTAAGTTTAGATGAAAAAAAAATTATCTATGCACGATCTATTTTATGCATCTAATAGGCATCTAAAACAGAGCAAAAATAGTATCTCTAGAATCAGACGTCTTTTTGATCTCTAAAATATACGTATCGGTAATAGATACAAATTAGATCAATTTTAGACGGTCTAAAAGACGTCTATTGTTTGCTGGGACACCAAGTTTCAGTTACGCACATAATGTTAAAAATATTAAAAATAAAGTTTCCTCAATATTTTTCCTAAAATTTTAAAAATTCTTTTTAAACTACTTATGTTAAAATGTATAACATTTAAGTGATCTCGTTTAAGAAATTCCTTTAGTTCATTGTTATAAAAGTACGAGCAATTGCACCTGCTTCGCTTAGATAAATTGAATCAGTTTCTTTGTTTGTAAAAAATCCATTTGTTTGAAAAAAATTAAAAGAATTAAACTCAAAGTTGTTTAGAAGTTTTGAGTTCATTTTTGCGTTTTAAAATATAGCGCTAAAAGAATTTCGTTTAGGATAAAACTTAAGAATGAATGCCAAATTAACATTCATTCAAAAAGTAAATTAATTTAATAAAATAAAAAAATCTCGCTTAAAATTAGACATAAAAATAAAAAATTTATTTTTGGCAACCTTTTGCGTCAATTTTTTTTCGGCAGTAAGTTTGTCATAAGAGATAAACGCATATTTTCCAAGTTCACGTTGTTTAACCATTTCAACTTTCAAATCTTTTTTTATTTGGACAGTTTTAAAACAAAAATCTTCACTTATATAATGGTTCATTCTTTTTAGCTACACTCATCTTTTCATAATATCAGTTTCATCTTTATATCATTATACATAATATCAGTATTACCATCTCTTTTCAATCTTTTTGGGAAATTATCATTTTTCACATTTCCCACGCCTGTTATTTCTTTAATTACATTCCATTTTCATGTCATGACGCATTTTCAAATGTTTTATTAAGCAATAAGGAATAGCAATTTTTTTTGGATTGCTTTTTTAACTTTTCGAAAGAATTTTATATTTTTTGTATTTTATTTCAATTTTATAGTTCTTTTTTTTAAAAAAAATTTTTTTTTTAATTTTTGGTTTCTTTTTGATGACTTAATGAGTCCTTTCGTCATCCACGGACTAAGCAAATTTTTAGAATTAATAATTTTTTTATCTTTTGGAAAGGCTTTTTCGTATTACTTAGTAAACACGCAAATAAAAAAATCATAGCCATTATTTACCTCATTGCAATCAGTCAATAGTTCCCAGTTTATTTCTTGTAAGAGGTCGCGAAATGTGACGATTGATTCATTATTTGTTTTTCTTACATAAATAGTTTTTGTTTCTATTTTTTTTCTCAGGGGTTGCCGAATTTGTGATCAGAAAAACTGGAAAATGATCCGTGATATCTGTTTTAATAATACCACTTTGCATTTTAGCCCTTGTGTAATTATTAGTAATAATATTATCGATAATATTATTACTAATAATATTATCGATAAAGTCAAGGTAAATAATATTTACCTTGACTTTGAAAAAGCATTTGAAAAAGTCCCACACGACTATCTTCTTTTGAAACTAAAAGCCTATGGGATTAATGGTCCAATTCTCTCTTGGATAAGAAACTTTCTCACAAATCGAAGACAAAGAGTAATGATAAATGGTAATTACTCTGATTGGGTATCAGTAAAAAGTGGAGTTCCCCAAGGTTCTGTTCTCTCAGCTCTATTATTCATTATATACGTTAACGATATTCCCAATATAATTACTTCAAATGCAGCACTTTTTGATGACGATACAAAAATATTTTACCCTATTACTAATTTGCATTCACACACCGTACTTCAAAATGATATTGATATCTTGGTTGACTGGGCAACTAAATGGGGGATGAAATTTAATATAGAAAAATGTTCAGTTTTACACCTAGGTCATAAAAATAAACATCTTGTCTATTCTATCTACGATCCAGTGAAGAAAACAAGGATTGATATCAAATCTACCAACTCAGAAACTGACCTCGGAGTACATATCGATAATAACTTCCCACCAAGCATTTCAACGTTGATTCAACGTTGATAACGCGTTGATTTACAGACGTCGATTTATTCGTCGAATTGGAAACAAAATATCGACGTTGAAATATCAACATTGATTCGACGTCAATAAATCAACGTTGAGCGTACGTTGATTTACAAACGTTGATTTAACCGTTGATTTGGAAACAAGAAATCGACGTTGAAATATCAACATAGATTCAACGTCAATAAATCAACGATGAACTTACGTTGATTTAAGCGTTGATTTGGAAACAAGAAATCTACGTTGAAATATCAACATCGATTCAACGTCGAAAAAACAACTTACGTTTTATAAACGTTTTCGAAAGATAACATTTAAAAAATTTACAAAAAAGTATTTGTTACAAAGTTTAATAAGTGGGGGAAAGTAAGATTTTATTAAGAGTTTAAGAGTTTATTTTTATTTTTCGCTACTACTTCCGCTTTTGTTTGATGCAACGTCACATTCTACTTCGCATTCGTCGTCACCTTGATTTATTTCTTCATCGCATTTGTGAACTTCATCGTTTTCTATTTCGTGGTTGCAAGATTTCCGTTTACCTCCATTCAAACGATAAGGTGCATATTTTAGGCAGGAGGCAATAAATGACCTAGTTTCTTTGTCTGTTGCTTTAGGCTCACAGCGCCTAATCGATTCTAAAAAGTAAATGCAAAAATATCAAATTTGGTCAAGTGAATAAAACTGTAGATAAAGGAAGAAAGAATGTCTTCAATTTACACTATTTAATACGAATACATGAAGTTTACAACTTTAATGTAAACTGATTTAATTTTATTTTTCAATTTGTTCAAGGAAGATTTTTATATCTACTTTTTGTGAATTCAACTAAATTCATTTATTTTCAACAGGCAGCCTTTAAAAAGAAATATAAATATATAAAAATATAGAGATCAACATTATAGCTACCAATTATTGCTTTGTAAACATTTAACTTTTCCATAGGTAACTTCACATTAACCTTTCCCTTGGAACCAACCAAATTGAACTTCGATTGAAGTCTGTTTGTCATCAACCTTAAACATGTCAAAAGAGAAACTCAACATTATTTTTCTATAATTAAAAATCGCTTTTAAAAACTAATTTTCTTTGCAAAAATAGTAAGTACTATTTATTTAAAAAATGTTTCAACCTGTTTATCATGTTTGCAACACTTTTTTTACCATTGTTACCGCCAATGGAAGATAGCTGATTAACCTGATATAAAAATAAAACAATATCTATAGGAGCAATGTGGCAGTATTGCATAATAGAGCATCTAGATCTTCAATGGAATTTTTAGATAACATCCTAGCAGATAAAAGGTCAGG